CCTACAGCTCTTTCCGGCTGGGAATCTCGTTGCAACGGGCGACCTGGCTCGCTGACTGGACTTTGCGCATCTCTCGAGAGGGCAGCGTGACTTGGGATGATTTTGCATGCGGCCTGGGCAGACTGGGATTTGGAGCGAACGCCCTCTCCTGGGAGAGACCGTTCCTCGGTCCTCTTTACTCCTGGTCGGCGGCCACGCGGGGGAGCAGAGGGCTTCTCAAGATCCCGGTCATGTTAAGGACAATTCTCAGGAACCGCCTCCGGAGCGGCTTCAAAAGGGGATGAACAAGTTCAGCTTCTACTCGGACGCCAAGGCCGAGGAGGACCGCGCATGGATCGGCGGCTACTTGTGGGACGGGGAATCGGCGCTGCAGTGGTTCGCTCTGGAGGTCCTTGAATCCTGGGCACCGTGGGCCTACGTGAAGGGGGACCTGAAGCGCACCATTGCGAGTCTGGAACTCTTGGGCACTCTCATCTGCGTCAAACTTTGGGGCGCCAAGATGAAGGGCAGTGGTGGTGGATGCGGCCACATCACCGGTGGCACGGACAATCAAGGGAACTCCTATGCAGTATCCAAACTGATGTCAACGCGGTATCCTCTGCCCTTGCTGCTGATGGAGCTCTCGGAGACGCTACGGGGGATGAACCTCTCTCTTGACTTGTCATGGGTTCCTAGGGAATCTAACGTGTGGGCGGACGATCTCACCAATCTTCGATTCGATCGTTTTGATCCCTCAAAGAGGTTGGAGATTCTGGGCGACCAGATTGATTGGATCATTCTGGGAGACCTCTTGAAGTCGGCAAATGGTTTTCATGGTGAGCTTGTTGCAGCGAAGGCTGCGGCGCACAACAAGAGGCAGCCGGTGGCGAAGGCCACCAGTCGGAAGAAGCTTCGCACGAGGTGGTGAGTTTCGGATACATTCGGCTTCGGCGGTGCTCGGGTGCTGGGCACATCTCGGTGCATCTTGATGCAAGGGTGGACCGTTTTCGCTTAAAGCGCTACGGTCGTAGATGTGCTCTTCGCCGAATGGGAACTCCGATCCATCCTTCGGGAAAAATGAGAGATGTCCGACTTTGCGTAACAGCGGCTAGCATGTTCACTTCATGTCATTCCGTTGAGTGCTGCTGCGTCAATTCCATATGAAAGATATTGGACTCCGGATTTTCTATATCTTGATTTTCCGCCTCTGGGCTTTTGAAATATCTGCTCCTGCCACAGTACCTGGTGGTGCTTAGGGGGTGGCTGGTGGGTTGTGGGTTTGACTCGCACGCACGCGTTCGCGACTTGTTGCGTCAGTGTGTGTGCCCTTCAAACCCACGTGTTCTCGGTACATTTGATGTACCGTCGCTTCGGGAAAAGAAAACAAGGTTTTTGTTTTCCCAAGATTTTGAATTAATCTCCTTGTACCTTTGAGAGCATCATTTTACTTTGGGCTGATGCATCATGACAATCATGATTTGCACTTGTAGCCACAAGGGTCAAGTGGTGAGTTCTGAAGCTCCCACCCTCCCAACCCTGGTGCTGGGCACATCTCGGTGCATCTTGATGCAAGGGTGGACCGTTTTCGCTTAAAGCGCTACGGTCGTAGATGTGCTCTTCGCCGAATGGGAACTCCGATCCATCCTTCGGGAAAAATGAGAGATGTCCGACTTTGCGTAACAGCGGCTAGCATGTTCACTTCATGTCATTCCGTTGAGTGCTGCTGCGTCAATTCCATATGAAAGATATTGGACTCCGGATTTTATATATCTTGATTTTCCGCCTCTGGGCTTTTGAAATATCTGCTCCTGCCACAGTACCTGGTGGTGCTTAGGGGGTGGCTGGTGGGTTGTGGGTTTGACTCGCGCGCACACCGTAGTACAAATTGATCTAGAGCATGTTGTCACGCTGGCATCGGTGTCTCGGGAGGCCTACGAGCTAGTCTCTCAGTCCCTCCAGCAAGCGGCATTCCTTCGAACACCATTCAGGAGGCCCTTATTGAGTTGCAGCCGTCGTCCTTTGCATGCATGGAGCAGTGGGGGCTGCCCTACTTTTCTGTCGAACGGTGGGGGGAACTACCTTTTACACGCCTGCGGCTACCGCTGTCGGACTTAGCCCTGAGCCATGACCCTTGACCGGCCATACCTTAGCCCTTGCGAGACCCACCATTGGGAAGCTGGGCGAGGTGGGCTCTGAACACAAGCTAGCTGCGGGACTCGAGCCGCGGGAATCACCCCTCCTTTGTGGACGGGGCATTGTGCCCCTGCGCCTGACACCCCGGGTAGCCGGACTGCAAGCACGGCGTTGAGTCGTGTTTAGGGCTGCCAGCATGCCTGGCTTGCACTGGCCCTTCGTTGCATTCGAGGAAAACTGCTGGGCTGGCTGGGATGCACTGCTCAGCCCCACCACCTTTCGTGGTTGTGCTCCCCCCAGGCAAGTCCGTGCTCCCCGTTTAGGGGTTTCACTTTCTCTTGTCAGGCTTTGCCTGCGTACCTTGATAATCACCCTGGCGTCGCCCCCAGTGAGGCAGCTTGACAGGCTGCCCATGTGCGTGCTTACGGGCGTCTCTCTCATTGCTTGAATGATGCCAAGCATGGGCAGCACCATGGCGCATCAAACCGGCTGCCGGGTTTACTGGTGACGACACATACGCTATGGCATAGTCTACGCCCAGCTCTGCATTGCATGGCCCTCGGGATGCCCAAAGGGTCCATCGATCTCAGAGGACTGGCCTTACCATACGTTCAGTGCCCTTGCGAGACCCGATTGGGAAGCGGGAAGCTGGGCGCGATAGGGCCTCGAATGCAGGGTAATCGAGGACTAGGTCTGCGGGGCCAGTTCGTACAGTGTCTTGGTCTGGGAAGATTGGTACTGCGATTACCATCCCGGGCGGCGGGATAACCGGCACGGCCGAGCTCCGCGGCTTGAGACGCAGACTATGCAGCTGCCACCGGCGTCATTGCTGCAAAAAGTTGAACCTGCGGGTGGCAGCGATCGTGCCCGCCTGCTAGGGCCCTGCGCCTGCATCGGACTTAGCTCAGCCATGTGACTCCACTACACGCTCGACATCTTTTCAACTGTGCAGCTGGGCTCATCATATGTGCCTTGCCCGTCCGTAAGGTTGTAGATACCTGGCCATGGCGGATTTATCAGAGAACACTCTCTTACGTGTCGCCACCTATGTCTCTGTTCAACCCCTCTCGCTGCTCTACTGCGCTCCGCCGAATGTCGCTACGCGGCAGCTATTGAGTGCTGTGGGCTCGCGAGAGCGCAAAACGGCCGGTCTTGCCTTTCGGCAACAGCTGACGGCATACCAACGGTCGGTAGCCGCATACCTGGATCGGTGTGTGTTTGTGTGTTGGCAAATAGAGCGCAGACTCCAACTATGGGTTCGGCTTGGCTTCCAAGTCGGCGCCACTATTATCCAAGTTGATCTCGAGGCATTGATGACGCTCGCCGCGGTCTCCCGCCATACCTGTCGAGCGGTCGTTGGACTATACGAGGGTACTGACTTTCTGCGTGCGTCGGCCATCCATGATGCAGTGGATGGTATACAGCCGTGGACCTTGGGTTGGCCTAACTTGCGCACTACGCCTTCTTTCAACTTGGAACCGATGCAAGCACTCCCCATAACGCGCTTGCGGTCTCCGATACCTTATTGAATTGAGATGTGGAGGAGTTTCACTCTTGTGGTGCTCCTTCTCTATTTGCCCTTGCGAGACCCCGTGAGGGAAGCTGGGCACTGACATCCCAGGATACAGCGGCCTGTTTGTGACGGGCTGCTCTACGACACTGGCTCTCTGAATGAGTGATTCGCCCTTGCGAGACCCATTGGAAGGGAAGCTGGGCGCATGGCAACTCACCTTTTGTTCTTGTGTTGCGAACTGCCACCAACCTGACAATTTTGATGATGGTGGCCATTGCGCGACCCATGTCTTACGGGGAGCAGGGCCAGTGATCCGAGGGCCAGTGTATATATCAGAGCTGAACGATTTCGCCGACCAAGTCTGTATGTCGCAGCTCCTGTTTCACCTAGCATTTTTGTGCAGCTTATTCATTTCTTGTTAGTTGCTCTCTTTCTTACAGGGACCGAGTGCTGCAGCGTGTAGTCGACGAGGCCCGCATACGCCAAAAAAATTGAAAGGACTCCCTCGGAAAACTTGAGGCGAAAAACAGAATGACAAGACAACTTGAAAACAACGCAACTTCCGGTCGCGAAAGAAGGAGCTGGTGGCCTGCCTCCACTTGTGCACGTAGTGCGGCACCTCCAGAGGTGTGAGGTCGAGCTCTTAGAGAGAAAAAACTTCTTGTACCGTGAAGAAAGTTTCTGGTTGATTCTTCCGTGTTGAAAAGCCACCAAGACCAGCGTTCAGTGCCTTTGGCACAAACGGTCGCCTCTCAGTTGAAGACCTGGCAAATTCCGTCTCCATCACTTGCACAGTGCATGATGTTGAGTAACAAAAATTTCCGAGCCTTTTGTTTTAACCTTCAAAAGTACTTGGCTGTTGGAGCGGAGCAATTCCAGGAAGACCATCTCTGTTGGGTCGACATCGGTTTTGTATCAGCGACAATCTCCGCTGGAAACTGGTTGACAACAGCGTCAGATTGAGTCGGACGTCTGATACTCGCAGACAAGCCTGACAAAGCACGGACGTGGGCTAAAGAGTCCTTTTGCTGCGACTGTCGCAACTGGGCTTCAATGCTTCAGACCAGAAACGGGTGGCTGACGATTGTCTCCTACGACTCTGTCGTTGAAAAAAATGGACAAAGCCAGCTCAAGAACTTGCACAGACAGCTCTTGTCGCTCTTGAACCGAAATTGTGTTGGCAATCGCGCAAGGTTCATGCTCGACATAAGTAACTTGTTGCAACAATGCCAAATTGTGCAGCCAGTGTAAAGATTCATCATCATTTCGTCGCGATAAACTCTGCATGGGCTTTTCAGTATGTCTAATGTGCAGTCTGTGAATCAGCTTGGCAGCCAGTGTTGGCTTTTGCAATGCGCCCCGACGCTTTCTGAGCATGTGGCATGAGAAGGCGAGCATGTTGCAAGCTTGTTGCACATGTGTAGATTGAACATAGTAGATATCTTAAATCGCTGTACTAAGCCAGCCGGTGAACATCACTGCGTATTAAGCAACCGCATGATGCTGGAATTTCTTGGAATGCATCATCCGTCTCCGTCTCTCTCTCTCCTCCCTTTCTCGCTGTTTCCCGCTCCGTGTTTGTTTCTGTCTCTGTTTATAATTGTTTCTATTTTGTGCTTCTTGTTTCCTTCACTCTGTCTCTCTCTGTCTGCCTCTTTCTGCTGTCTTGTTTCATGTCGTTATGTAAGTTTCTCTCGTCTCTGTAAGTGTGTGTCACATTGACTAATGTATTCAGTGCTGTTTTATTTCAGTTTCCTTTTCTCATTTACGATGTTCAGAACAGAAGTACATGCCAAGTCACAGCTACATGCAGGAGGACATGTTCAATCGCCCATGGATGTATTTGTCACTTCACAAAACCGTTTGGGAGACTCGGGGGGCCGCAAACCACACCTTTCATTACCATTACGATGGTTGCAGTCCGGTGTCAAACGACACGTACAGCATGGTATTGCGGCGCATGGAAATTCGCATTGTCACTGTGGAACACTGTGGCGAATATATGCACAAGTCTGAGAAGACACCGTGCCAGCCCGCCGTCATCATCGACAACGGGTCTGGCCACGTCAAGGCATGATGCGTTTCAGTGCATGTAAAGAGGCTTGCAGTTTCCGCCAAGGCAGGAGTTGCTGACGAGGAAGCGCCACGATGTGTCTTTCCTGCTGTTGTGGGCAAACCGAAGCATGCGGCCATGATGCCAGGCTGGGAGTGTGTGAGATGCACAGATTCCAAGCAACGTCGTAGGATTTCTGAATAGTGCGGCATTCCAGACGTGGTGTGAATCCGTTTGCTTCGTACAGGCAGCGACAAGAAAGACTTTTATGTTGGCGAGGAAGCTATGGGCAAGCGCGGCGTGCTGTGCTTATCTTATCCAGCTTGGGCCTTAGTTTGCACTTGCATGTCTGGGGTATGGGCAGTTGTTCGAATCAGATTTGCAATGTTATTTCTTGCATTTCAGATGTTCACAATGTTTCTTTGTTGACAGCCACGTTGCCACCTGCTGGACATATAAGACGGATATGGTCGATGTTCGTGCTGCTGCGAGGCATTGCAGAAGCATCAAGCACAACTACCATTGCCTACATAGTAGACTTAGTAGGAGCTTAGCCGCCCATCTTGATCCAAGGATAGTTGCCTCTTTTGCTTTGTTGTCGAGGTTTTATGCCGACAGCTGCAGCTCGTAATTCTGCACTGCGCCCCAGAACAAGAGTCCCGCCCCCCCCAGGTTCGCAGCTGCGACTTTTGTTGTCAGAAAGACGAGAGCTCCAGTACCTCCCTGAAGCCGTTGTTGTTGCCTTTATGGTCGTTGTTCTTATATTGCTCCAGAAGTAAGGGCAGCCACCACGCTAGTTCAAATGCGGGGGCCAGCTGAGTCGCTGTTGCTGCATCGCGAAGGTTTCGCATCAGTCAAACATACTCAAACCTTACACTTTGCAGCAAGCAGCCTGGATGCGAATGTCCAACCCGCTAGCCGCTGAGCTGACTGTCTTTCGACGCATGCCCCTAAGATTGAGCACGGCATCGTGAAAGATTGGTCGGAGATGGAAAAGGCTGGGTTTAGATGTTGGAGTTGGCCACATGCATGACATCGCGTCCCGTGTGAAGGTATGGCATCACACATTTTTTGATGCACTGCGTGTTAACCCGGAAGATCAAGCCTGCGTTGTTAGCGAGGCAGGACCCACTATGTGTTTGTTTTTGACACGTCGTGTGTGCCCGAATGTTAGTCAGTTTTCTCCCAGGGTCGTGGCTGTGATTCAGTTCAGGCACCCATGAATCCGAAAAAGAATCGAGAAAGGATGGTCGAGATGTTGTTCGAAAAGTGGCGCCCTGAGAAGCTACAAGGTCACATGAAGCCTTGTGGGAGAGTGACAGGACGCTGACCCGGGCTCAGGTTTAGTTGTCCAGCAGCCTACATCGTTATCCAGGACTGCAGTTCCTTGATGATGCTTCCATCACACTCGTTTCTAGACGGTCCACTGATCGTTTGACGTTCGTCAGACCTTGGATCGTGACATCGCGTCGAAAACGCGGAAGCAGCGAGTCATATCGGAGAGGAGGGGCAGAAGCAGGAAGGAGGAATAATAGGCACCGAGTGAGGAGTACGAGACGATGAGAGGATTTCTGAAAACGGTGCCCCGATACAGTAAAGCAAATTCAAGCCAGATGAGACGTCGATTCAGAAAACCAGATTGGGAAAGCAACGAGATATTCCGAGGAAGAAACTTCCAGAAACTACGCTCCTGCTCAGCCACGAAGAACCACGCAGAGCCACAGAGACGCGGTTGGGTTTGACCTGGTTTGCCAACCGCGAAATTCATTGCGGGTATGGGCTCTGCCTGGTTAGAAGCAAACGTTTGAGGCTTGTCTGCCAATCCTTTGTTTAAATTGTTTCATGGTTTTGAGGTTTGGCAACCAACATCTCCCAGGACGATAGCAGTTCAGTTATGAGCTACCTTAACCAATAGAGCTTGCTAGTCCATGTTTGAGGTTTCTTGCTTACCGCTATCATTTTTTGGGGTTTGGTGCCAAGCAACATCTCCGTTTTGGGTTTCGAGCTTGCCAACCATTGAGGCTTTGCCATCCAACATCGCTAGCAGAATGTCAGGCTAGGTACACTAAGGTTTGCCGGCTACGATCTCCGTTTGGTTTGCCTACCAGTATCGCTTTTTGTTGGGTTTGGCGCTCTAGCTTCTTTTCGGGTGTCGTGTTTGTCAACCAGCGGTTCGCCACACGTCATAACTAGTATTCGTCAACACTTGGTGGCTGGTCGTGGATCTCGTTTTTCTTTTGTCTGGGAGGTCAGGTAGCAGAGGGAAGCCAGTGCGGAGAGTTGCGGCATGCTTTGCGGATGCGATGCGTTTGGTGGCTTAAGGGCTTAGTTTTAGTTGCAACGGTCCTGAGAGTGTGCCAGCCTTTGTCCTTAATGGCTGTTATGTTTCGTTTCTTCTCTGTGAGTTTTTGCTTTTCGCAGCCAACGTGCCCAGCACAGACTGCATGTTGACTGGGGCAGTTCATCTTCACCAGTCATGACTTTAAGATAAAGCTGCAGGATCAGGGAGCATCACGAAATACTCATCGAAGCATGTTGATGTTTGCAAGGCCGTGATGTCTTTATACTCCAGTGGCCGCACAACCGGGACCGTGGTGGATTCTGGCGACGGTGTGACCCACACCGTGCCAGTTTACGAAGGCCGTTCCGGCAGCACAGCGGTAGCACAATACAAAAAGACGAACAGATGAGGCTTTGCACTGCCTCATGCCATTCAGCGGTCATGCGCTTGGAATTGCATCGGAATACGTTTAATGTCTGGGTATCCATCGTTCTGAGTTTTGCCTTTGCTGTTTCATCGGCACAATGGTGTTTGTGAGGTTAGACCTTGCTGGAAGAGATCTCTCCGAATACATGATTAAGGCAAGCAATCGAGTTACGGCTAGTTACGGCTAGTTGAGTTTGGCAATGTGTATCTACGTGACCTGAAGTTGAGTTCAGATCCTTCACGACAGCGGCCACAATATGACGTCTTCATCTGAGAAAGACATCGTCCGAGAGATGAAGGACAGGTTGCTCGCAAGCTTCAGCCACTCGCCTTCACGGCGGTCCACGGATGCGCATGACTCTGCCATACTCTGCCAGGAGACGACCTGCTATGTTTGCAACGGTGATTGGAAGACTGAGATGCAGTCCGCCAAGGTAGAACTCAAGCTCTGTTGCTTCCAAGCGGAGCTTTCGCATCGCTAGACGAGTCTTGGCTTGCGTGAAGGAACATCCGACAGAATATGAGAAGATCTACAGCCTTCCAGATGGCCAGAAGGTGTGAAGCCGGGCCAGCAAGACGTAAGACGACAACGTGGTTTCAAGCTTGGCATCCTGACACCTCAGGTGGCCCTGGGCTCTGAGCGCTTTCGGGTCCCAGAGGCTCTGGCTTTGGACATTGCGGGAAGAAAACTCCGTGCTGCTGACCAGGTCATGTTTGATCCTATGATCGCAGGGCGAGAGCTCCCGGGGCGGGCGGCCAAGCCTATGTGGAGTGTGTTGAGCCGTTTTGACGTGCTTTGGAAACTCGGGGCAAGAAGATGGACACAGCCAAAGCTGTCGACTTTGTCATGTCATGGAACAAAAACTTTGAGCACTCGAAGAATACGGGGGCGGAAGGCGGGGAGCCGCGGCCGGAGCTCGCCTCGTGCTCGGTGCCCGGTGTGGCACAGGGCCCTCCCATTTCTGCAAAAGCAGCTGCCGCGCAGCTGCGCTGCTGCCCCAACTCCTCCGCAGGCTCTTGGAGCGTGAGCTCAGACCGAAGTTGCAACAACTCAATCATCTCGCAAGGGTAGAACAGCTAGCATCAGCCAATGGCTGACGATTGCCAGGATATGGATTGATGTCGTTGGACCTCCTGCCTTGTGTGTTTCCACGACGACAGGGTTTCGTCTTAATCGAATACCATCAACAGCATCATCTGAAGTTTTGTGATACAATACTGTCGCCTCTTGTTTCTGCGATGTTGCCGCTTTCATGACTGCCGCTTCTGCTCAGCATCGTCCTGTGCTTGTGCAGCATGGGCAGTCCTTTGCCTGATCATCTGCTTGGTCTGCGGTTGTTCCCGTCCCAGAGGCTAACTGAGTGCGTCGAGTTTCTGACTTCCGAAGCTTGCGATGCGGTTCAGGTTGGCCTTGCCAGCCATGCCATGGTGTTCATGGAGAATAGAAAGCGAGCGCTGCCGTGGTTCGCCACGCCGCTACGCTCCCCATCGCAGAGCAGCAGCGCTTGCAGCATTCAGATTCTGTTGCGAACTTACATCTGGGCGACAGTCGTCCTGTCCAGAATCGCTCGATTATCGACATGGTCTTCTTAACGCGGTTAACATGTTGAAGGGTTCCAGGCATTCTGTCGAAGCACGAACAAGGCAGAGGAGGAGCTGTGGTGTCGAAAAGAATCCGGAGAGCCATCATTGTAACGCCCCACGCCAGTTTTCAAAATCATCACTCCTGAAACACCCTCGGTTGGCTGAAACTCGAAAGTCCTGTAAGTTCCTGTCTTAACGTTTTGAAGTCCTTGCCAATGGGTGGCCGTAAGACGCCTGCAACATGTAGGATTGCGCAACAATGCACGATCGTAATGCTGGCTCTCCAAGAGGAGCCCGGCGTCCGGACTACATGAAGTTGCTATAAACAGGCAGTCGCACAACTGATTGAACGGTTTTGCGGCGTGAAGTGATGGTCGGAGGACTGGGACATGCTCCTGTGCAAGAGGAGTCAACGTAAGCAGAGATGATAATGCCACCTTGACGACCACTGGCCTGGTCCATGTCCGTAAGTTTCGCGGCCGAGATCCGAGCAATGCCGGAGCGCCTGGAGTTAACACTAAATTCACTAAATTGAGGGGCAGCCATTCAGCTACGGGCTGCCTTCGCATAAAAACGGCCTTGCAAACCAGTATATTGAAGCAGCATCACAGGATGTCAAGGACACACGACCGTCAGCGCCTGCAGACTGTCTGTAAGATCGAACGGTTTTGCTGTCCGTGGAAAGCGTAGCAGGATTCCAATCTCCAGCGCAATGCCAATGCCGCAAGTTTTGAGCTTGTGATTAATGGCAGGCTCAGGTCGGCAAGGTGTTGTGAATATGTGTAGGACAGGAAATGTATTGCCGTCATGAGCAACATAAACCTGCCAACCTTGGAATGCAAAGCGAGGGAGGACATCAAAGTGAGCGCCCGCATCAACGACCGCATGGAAACTGACTCAGCTCTGTCACTCCTTTGCTGTCCTCCGACCTGGGGTGGTGCTGTTGGGCTCCGATTCGGGCTCCAGTCGGCTCGCAAAAAGCAGATCAGTTTTCGTGCCACGAGTACAGACCTGCACGAATACTTGTTGAGTCCAAGTCGTTTCAGAACCAAAGTATTCCTTTCCGTAGACGTTGTCGTACCGTATCTACCCTATCTATTCTGTCCTTGCATGTGTGTGTGTGTGTGTGTGTGAACCTCCCTAGCACATGGGAGCAGAGGGTCACTCCTTCACGATTGCAGGGGGACACAGCATGTCGCTGGGACTGTGTCCAACGAAGCTACCAGTGACATGGGAGGAGAGGACTGATCATCCTCTTGTACCTGCAAGCTGGGCCCCCTGAGGCAGCAAGATTAGAAAACGCTGGCCCCCTGAGGCAGCAAGATAAGAAAAAGCTGGCCCCCTGAGGCAGCAAGATTAGATAACAACATACAACATACTCTCCTCTTCTTGCTCTCTTGGCCGAATCCAGCTGTGTGATCAGCGTGGGTCGTTGAGACTCCAGAGCAACGGCTTTCCGTCATGGCGCGGTGGTGACCCTCCGGGGAGACCGGTGATGAACCGGGTGTTCAGCCTTCGTTCAGATCGTTCAGATTCTCCCGATGCTACTTTATCTCTCTCTCTCTGATGCTCGCATGTGCGTCTGACATGAGTGCAGGTGCAGTAATGGACGGCTAATGCTGTAAAGTGCGTCTAGTGAGCAGGTGCTACCTCGCTAGTCTGTCCTCTATTCGACCGCTTCTTTATTCCTCAGGGACTGCAAGGGCATGTGCAACTGACATGAGGGCAGACGCGGTAACAGTGTCTACTGCAAGTGAAACAGCGCTCTCTTCGGAGAGTAATCGGCCTCTCGCTTCTCTCTCCCCCTAACCCCACACCTTAAGTTGAGGACCACGCAGGACGTGGTACCTCTCATTCCATTGCTCCTGGGTGCTTTTCTGCACAGCTGGAGGATGGTCCACCGCTCTTGGGTGTCTTTTGCTACACAGCTGGAGGGTGGAATACCCTAATACCCTAATCCTGCTACTGGCCTTGGACCCTGCTCGGGTAGCTGGGCAGTAGTCACTCCGTTCCTGGGTCTTTGGTGACAGCTGGAAGGAGTGTCCTCACCCTAATCTCACCCCCTAATTACAACATACAAACACATGTGCAATACATTGGTCAGAAGCTGCTAGCCCTGGACCCCTTCGAGGGTAGCTGGGTAGCAGTCTTTCCTTCAACCCTCCTTACTGTTGCCTTTGGGGGCCGTCGCGCCCAGCTGAGGAACAGTCCCCGGCTGGATCTGGGCCCTTGCAAGGGCAGCTGATCAGCCTTCCTTCCCCTCTGTCGCTTCTGGGGGCTTGCGTGCCCAGCTGAAGGACAGTCCTGAACCCCAACTTTAACGCCTCACTACATCTTGGACTACCACAACATTCCGGACCACATCGACAAGATTTGCAAGCGGGCATTGCAGCCCACAGGGTTTTGTGGTTTAGTTTTGGTTCGTTTAGGTCTTGGAGCCCTGGCGTGGCTTTATTTCACTGCACACAGCCGCCCCAAGGTGGGGCTGTGTGTGTGTGAACCTCCCTAGCACATGGGAGCAGAGGGTCACTCCTTCACGATTGCAGGGGGACACAGCATGTCGCTGGGACTGTGTCCAACGAAGCTACCAGTGACATGGGAGGAGAGGACTGATCATCCTCTTGTACCTGCAAGCTGGGCCCCCTGAGGCAGCAAGATTAGAAAACGCTGGCCCCCTGAGGCAGCAAGATAAGAAAAAGCTGGCCCCCTGAGGCAGCAAGATTAGATAACAACATACAACATACTCTCCTCTTCTTGCTCTCTTGGCCGAATCCAGCTGTGTGTATGTGTTGCTTTGTGCTTAGCTCTGGAGATATCTATGGCTATTTTGGCCTGATTGGCTTCCTGGCATCTCGAGTGGTCACGCAATTCTGGATGAAGGGCAAGCCTTCCGCCTGTTGGCGTTGGGCATATGTGCCTGCGTAGACGTGCTGGTGTCCAGGCTGCATCAATCCATCTATCGATGCATCCAGGCCTGAGCTGAACAAGAAGGGTCGAAAGTGCATGACTGCAGACTCCAAAGGACTGCGACATAGATCTTCGAAAAGATCTTCTGAAGAACATTGTACTGAGTGGAGGCGACATGCATTGCATTGCGGCATTGCGAGAATGCCTCGGCGAACGTTGTGTTCGCCCAGGCAACACGATGTTCCCTGGAATAGCTGAACGACTGGAGTGCGAGCTGAAGGCCAGGCAGGTTTCGCATCGCATCTGTTCGATTGCTTGCTTTTTTTTTTTTTTCGCATGGAGGCTTTGGCTCCGCAGAAAATCAATGTCAAGGTGATCGCAAATCCACAGAGAAGGTTGGCGAAGCTTCCCGACTGTGCTGCGTTTGCACATGATGTGCAACTCTCGCAGGTACCTCGTTTGGATGGGTGCCTCGATTCTAACTCGGTTGTCGAGTTTTCAGAACCTGTTGATAACGCTCACGGCTCAGCAGCGGCGTTTTGTTCTGTGAGACCTTTGGGAGTGATTGGCTAATGCCCCACCAAGGAAGGCAGAATATGATTCGGTGGGGCCAGCCATTGTTCACAGCAAGTGCTTCTGAAACTGGGAGCATGGATCCGGTGCTGTGACATCGTTTCGAGCGAAAAAGTCTTTTGCCAGCTCTCTTGCGGACAACGGCCAAGTCCAACCTCCAAGTTCCGGCCAAGACAAAGCTTTGCCCGACTAGTATGCTCTTCTGACTAGTTCTGCCGCAGCCCTTCTTGAAACACTGCGGCCTCAGTATTGAACTGTCCATTTCGAACCATAAGTTCAGCAGACTTAGATCGCACGTAGTGACTCGCCCGCTGCATATGCTGCTTGACCGTGGGGGTAGATCAATCTTGCGCAGAGGAGGGATTTTATGCTCGCACATGCTTGCAAGCTGCTTGAAGATTGCCAGTTCCATTATGTTTTGTGGCGTTTCAGGCCGAGAGCAGCCCAACTGCAATTTGCCAAGCGACACCCATGCCTGAAGAGACAGGTGCATTGGTAGTTTTTTTGGGGTAAACAAGACATCTGCCATCATCTGCCACAGATGTCTTTCAGTATCTTATGCTTGCAGAGTCAATGCCTTGGGCCGTGCAGCCGGTGTGGCCGGGCTATAGACACACTAGAATCGCCAGAAGCTCCGCAGACACAAAAACACAAAACCTTGGCTTCAATCTAGTGGCGTTCACTTGCCATTGCCAGCCCGATTCGCAGCGAAGGTGCCACCTGACGAGATGGACGTATTGCGTGTGCTGTTTCGGACTGTTATGCTGCAGGTCCTGCAAGCAGGGATGCCTTGCACTTATCCTGTGCATGCTGCGTGCCTCTGCATACTTCCGCAATTCTGCAAGTCTGAGGACCTTCCTGATCGGTACAGCTCCTTCTTTGGCGTTGGCTCCTTTCCTTGCCCGATGCCAAGGGGGAAAGTCGAGTGAGCAGCGGCAAGTGCCCGGAAGTGCCGCTGGAGGATGCGGCTGAAGGCTCCGTTCTGTCAATGGCCTGCAAGTCTTGCAGGGCACCGTTTGACAAGGCATGTGGGCATGGTCTAACGCTAAAGCTTTAAGGCTCCCAAGCGCCAAGCCCAAACCAAACATCGATTCAGATGTCAGAGTCGCAATGATTTTCGACCCTGCTTGGGTGTGGAGCTCACGTGGTGTTTGGTTTGGGGAGAAACGGCTTTGGCTGCAGCTGGGAACCCTAAACTTCAGCGGTTGGGTTCAGGATCCTGCATCGCCTGAAAGCCCGAACCTGTACATGGACAGGAATGCTTGTGGGCCGATCTGATCGCCGTCTGGCTGCAAGTTGGGCGAAGGAAGCTTGAGAAATTTCTTTGAGCCTGAAAGAAAGGTGAAGCATTTCGAGCCTGCGCTTCAACATTACTGCCTTGCTGCGTCAGACCTGGACGTCTCCCAGGTGGCTTCCAGTCGCTTGAGTTGGGTGAGTGCCTGTTCCTTCTGCGAGGCTGTCCGGCCATGCCAGCAGCACGACGTGGCGTGCTGAGTTGGCAAGACTACATACACAGACAGTCTGACACTCGAAAGCCCGCCCTCAGCTTTCGTGAGCTATTCGTGAACGAATTTGCCCGGCCGGGGGGCTGCTGAAGAGAGCTTTTTTTGTCAAAAGTCATTAAAACCGCTTGCCTTCTGTGTCCGCTGTTGCAAGAGTGTTGGCCAGAAGGTCTCAAAATCGCATCGGTGGAGGTGTTGACAGAGTGTTTGGAAAGTTTGGATGCGAATCGGATGTTCACATAGTTATGGTCGAATTTATGTGACCACGGAAGGATCACCTGTGGATGCTGAGGTCTCGTGACTTTCGCAGCTCACTGGCTAGCAGCAGCTACAATCAGGATTCACCCTTTTGCGAAAAGTCAAAACACCGCTGAGTACCGAGTTCAAGCCCAGCTCAGCTTGCTAAAGCGCCGACCTGTCAAGATTCGGCCCGATTCGGAATCAGCATGGCTGCTGTATCTGCCCTGCATGCAGTGTTCAAAGTTTGTTGGATGTCGGGAGAGATCGTTCAGACCAATTTGTTGCAAAAATAGATGTCCGACTGGTCAGATCTTGTGTTGCACACCACGAAAGTGTTCCTTGCAATTCGTCGGAAGACCTAAAGATACGAATATCAACTGGCCTGGAGAGCCCAGGCCGCAAGCCGACCGGAAGTAGTTGGACTTCTGGAACAGCTCCGCGAGGGTGGAGCTCGTCAGGCCGGGATTTACACGATGCCAACATCCGCCCGCGTACGCACGAGCTCCTTTGCCAATGATTGGCGTTCAGGCTTACTTGACGCTTGCCTCGACAAATTGTGAACCCTTCGTTCTGCAGCCTCGGGCCCGTGCTGTCCTCAATCTCACAAATAGCTTGGCAAAGCTAGTATGGTGGCTTCGTAGAACACTGGCGTCATCTGTGAGGTTTGATTCTGGAGATTCATGAACTACATGACTGGAACAGGCATTGTTACGCAAGACGAGACGTTCAACATGTGATCTGCAAGTGTCACTTCGCTTACTCATGCCCGAATTGGGTTGGTGCTTCACACTTTGGCTCCTTCTTTGACGAGGCATCAGCGTCGTCTTCTTCACTTGCGCCAGGCTGTGGTCTGGTTTGGGAATGGTCGCGAGCACACGCTTTCGTGCGAGGCAGAGTCCATCTCCGCTTCGCTCTCTGACCACACGGCAGGGCAAAGGAACCGCATGCTGCGTGCTACAGATGCGGGTTTTGCTCCATCGCGTGGGCGCCGCTGATGGCCAGGCTGCGGGAAGCTATTGTGTCTGAAAGCTTGGAGCTCATTGCTCTTCAGGCGCAGTGGCAGTTTAGGGCACTTCACATGGGACTGGAAAACCGAAAAATGCACGTTGAGTCGAAGTAGGCCGTGGTGGCTGGCGGAGGTGCACAGCCCAGAACAGTCCTGGAGTCCAATTGAGAGATATCTATGCTCTCCATTGTTGAAGGAAAGCTGGCGCGGCCTTCAACGAAGCTTCAACAGGGTGTCGCATCTGACCTACTGACTCGTAGGGACCTGCAGTTGACACAAGCGATCGGAAATCAGAGATTCGGCATCATGCTTACCGATGTGACCTTGCCCGGAAGATGCTTGAAGAGGTTCGACTTATTGCTGCCTGGTTTTTGAGGAATGGAACCCTGACATGGAACAGTCCCTTGTGAAGGCAGGTTTCCCTGATGTGGAGCAACGTACTCTGGCTCTTTAGATTTTGCTTTTCAGATTCTGGAAAGACGAGCTCAACAGCGCCGAAATTGGTTTCGGAAGCAGCGGGAGTTCTTGCTGCAGGAGTTGTCATTACTTGGCTTGACGTTGCTTGCACATGTGTTCTGCATGACGAGAACTTGAGGCAGCTCTAGCTCAGTGTTTGAGGATCCAGAGCGACTCTTTGATCAAAGATTGTGCCAGGTCTCGATTGAAGGCTCTGACCATCCTTGAATCCTTCAGCATTTTCGGCCATCCTGTGACACTCCTTCTACTTTCTCGCATTGAACTGGGTCGAAAGTCAGCCAAGAGCGCTTCTTTGAGACTGCTGGAGATCTTGTCGCGTTCAAAAGTGCAGGACCTGCGCTGGGAAGATTGGTCTACCAACTGAATGGCCTCGACCTGTCGAAACAGGCCTGTGTAGACCCCAGGCCAGAGATCTTGACTCTAAGACACAGCTCCTTCCAGGCCAGCCAAGCGACGTGATGCTGTTGTGGCATAGATCGTCTTTTATTTCATGTGCCTCTCTCTTTCTCGCTCTCTTCCTTCTGCCTGGCGGGCTGGCTGCCTCTCTCTCCCTCTCTCCGCATCCCTCCCTCTTGCCAGCCGTCTGTTTTCTCTTCCTTTCCCGACCCTGGAAAGATGACTTAGTGTGATGGAGTGAGAAGCATTTTGCTGCAAGTCCCACGAGCTTGGCTCTGTCTGTGGAACAGTGGCACTGGACTCACTGGACTGCGTGTTCAGTTCGTGCTTTTCTACACTCTGGAGTGCAATCTTGTGGCTAGACGTTTTCGTCTCACTCAGTAGGATGCGAGGATGCGTGTGTGCCCGGATGTCTAAGACTTCTCCGCGGCATACGAGCTAGAGCTCACAGGGTCAAAAGCAGGGACTATTTTCGTGGCACGTCTGGAATTTTGGCAGGGCCAAACGTGTGAGTCCGTCTGTGCGACTGCGAACTGCTTGGCTGCTTGGCTCCCGCGCAAGAAGTGCTCCGTGCTCTGTGCTCTCTGCGTGGTTTTGTAGCACCCGGACCTGCAGCAGCCACCGAGACTCCGAAAGGCGACTCGGAGCGAAAGGAAAGGAAAGGTGCGGAGGGCCCTAAAAAACCCAAGGGGGCCCAAGGCCCCCTTGAAGAGCATGGCCATGGCTGAATTGCAAGCGGCTCCTCACTTTAGCCTCAGGGCAGCCGCCCGATCTCTCCGCTGGCAAACTGTGCTGCGAACACTGAGTCAGATCCGCTTGCTTGGCAAGCTTGATGCAGTCACATGCAGCGTGGCGGTGAGCTGCTGTGCACGGGCCGAAGAGTGGACGAAAGCTTTGCAAACTCTTCATTCATCCACTAGCATTGGAAAGCTTCGGCCCGACACGGTGCTTTTCAATTCTGTCCTTCCTGGTTTCAGAGGTACAGGTCACTGGAGACATGCCTTCGAGATGCAGCGGTCCATGCAGACTCTGCGTCTGCGGCATGATGCAGCAACATGCAACGGCAACCTAGCTGGGTGCCGGAAGGAGCAGGCTTGGAGACAGGCAGCTAGTCTGTTGGCATGCTCTCTCATGATAGGAATATTGTGCCAGGTCTCGATTGAAGGCTCTGACCATCCTTGAATCCTTCAGCATTTTCGGCCATCCTGTGACACTCCTTCTACTTTCTCGCATTGAACTGGGTCGAAAGTCAGCCAAGAGCGCTTCTTTGAGACTGCTGGAGATCTTGTCGCGTTCAAAAGTGCAGGACCTGCGCTGGGAAGATTGGTCTACCAACTGAATGGCCTCGACCTGTCGAAACAGGCCTGTGTAGACCCCAGGCCAGAGATCTTGACTCTAAGACACAGCTCCTTCCAGGCCAGCCAAGCGACGTGATGCTGTTGTGGCATAGATCGTCTTTTATTTCATGTGCCTCTCTCTTTCTCGCTCTCTTCCTTCTGCCTGGCGGGCTGGCTGCCTCTCTCTCCCTCTCTCCGCATCCCTCCCTCTTGCCAGCCGTCTGTTTCCTCTTCCTTTCCCGACCCTGGAAAGATGACTTAGTGTGATGGAGTGAGAAGCATTTTGCTGCAAGTCCCACGAGCTTGGCTCTGTCTGTGGAACAGTGGCACTGGACTCACTGGACTGCGTGTTCAGTTCGTGCTTTTCTACACTCTGGAGTGCAATCTTGTGGCTAGACGTTTTCGTCTCACTCAGTAGGATGCGAGGATGCGTGTGTGCCCGGATGTCTAAGACTTCTCCGCGGCATACGAGCTAGAGCTCACAGGGTCAAAAGCAGGGACTATTTTCGTGGCACGTCTGGAATTTTGGCAGGGCCAAACGTGTGAGTCCGTCTGTGCGACTGCGAACTGCTTGGCTGCTTGGCTCCCGCGCAAGAAGTGCTCCGTGCTCTGTGCTCTCTGCGTGGTTTTGTAGCACCCGGACCTGCAGCAGCCACCGAGACTCCGAAAGGCGACTCGGAGCGAAAGGAAAGGAAAGGTGCGGAGGGCCCTAAAAAACCCAAGGGGGCCCAAGGCCCCCTTGAAGAGCATGGCCATGGCTGAATTGCAAGCGGCTCCTCACTTTAGCCTCAGGGCAGCCGCCCGATCTCTCCGCTGGCAAACTGTGCTGCGAACACTGAGTCAGATCCGCTTGCTTGGCAAGCTTGATGCAGTCACATGCAGCGTGGCGGTGAGCTGCTGTGCACGGGCCGAAGAGTGGACGAAAGCTTTGCAAACTCTTCATTCATCCACTAGCATTGGAAAGCTTCGGCCCGACACGGTGCTTTTCAATTCTGTCCTTCCTGGTTTCAGAGGTACAGGTCACTGGAGACATGCCTTCGAGATGCAGCGGTCCATGCAGACTCTGCGTCTGCGGCATGATGCAGCAACATGCAACGGCAACCTAGCTGGGTGCCGGAAGGAGCAGGCTTGGAGACAGGCAGCTAGTCTGTTGGCATGCTCTCTCATGATAGGAATTCAGCTGGACATTATTCCTTGGAATATTGTCATCAGCACACTCGAATTTGACGGGTGGCCCCGTGGGATTGCCTTGCTTTTGCAGGCACAGACTGCAACCTTGCAGCCTGACCTGCTCACGTACAACTCGGCAATCACTTCATGCGAGAAGACCTGGGAGTGTGCCTTGACAGTCCATAGCACCAGCTGCAGCAGCGGGTCACACCCAGATTCCATCGGTTTTGGTGCAGTGATCAACGTATGTGAGAAGGGCATGCAGTGGGAAGCAGCCATCGCGTGTCTCCGACATATGCACGAGGATCGATTGTCCAACGGAGTGGCATATTCAGCAGCGGTGCACGCATGCGAGCGCTGCGCACAGTGGGAGCTCGCTCTTTTGCTGCTGGATGATCTCATGCAGTCTGAAATCAAGGACAGAGTCTGACAGAGTATCACATGCTTTTGCGTGCGTTGTAAGGCGTTTCGTTAATTTTTCGATTGCCCGGATACAGCCCGATGCCCCGGCACAAGTTCAGGAGCTTTTCCCAAGCTGAAGCCTGCAGCACGCTGTCTTTTCGTTGATGTGAACGTGTGGTTGTTTCCATGACATCGGACCGTTTCCCTCTCAACGGCAGTAGAGGGCAAGTAGGCTTAGGGCATGGAGCTTCCATGATCGCAAAGCGGTTGGTGGATGACTTCGTGAAGACTTGTTCGCCATGGACCTATCAGCAGCTGCAGCAGTAGAATTGCGCCGTCCTCAGGGTCACGGTCACGCATGGCTTCAAGTCATGAGATTGCTGTTTTGCATGCTCTGTTGACGTTTCGACGGAGGTCCCCGCCAGGGCCACGGCTGGTGCCCGAGGATACTCAAGGCACGGGCCAAGCGTCCGAATGGCGCAGATGTGACAAAGAACATATAGAACTCGTTCAGGACTGGATGTTCCTCGCCCTCCTCCCTTGCGAGATGGAGTGCCGCTGACTCTGAGCTACAGCAAGTCGCCAGCATGAAGGAGGCACTCTGTTAGGGCCGCCATTGGGCCCATGGGGTGTGGAGGTCAGCTTGATCTAAGGTGACTACAGGTGGCCTGGACGTGTCACTGGACACAAGTTAGAGAATCCAGCTTGCCAGCTTGATGAAAGCCATGTGGATATCAGAACTTGCAGGTGATCACAGAAAGTGCTGCTATTGACGGTCAAGCTGGTTTGCTGATGTGGTGGCGGCATGTGGAGATCTTCGGCTAAGCAAGAAGAAGCTGTGTCTTGTTTGCTGCGAGTGGAAGGTATCGTTTGTTTCCTGCAATGCTTTGCTTACAGCACTGCTCTGCATATCGACAAGCTAGCGCCGCTCGTTCGTGAGGCCCGGCGACGACGACCAGGATCTTCCACAAGCATCGGGCCAATCTTGGCACTGGGGAGGCTGTTGGAGCTGCTTTGCTGCAACTGCACCTCGTGATCGGCTATTTTTCTTGCACGTGCACTTTTCTAGTTGACGTGGCAGAGTAACAGCTCTTATGCCGATGCCCCAGATCTGTCGGACATCGTCGGCGTACGATATACTACAATGTTTGGAGACCCTGGGCGGGAGTTTCTCCATGGTGACATGGCATGTAACTTGCAATCGTCGGCATTGTCCTGCGGCATGTAGCTGTTAGATGCTTGTGGCAAATGGCAAAGTGTGGCAAGGTGGTGCTTTGCCAGCTGCGCGGTTTGCACCATGGGATCTTCCGGCTGAGCGCATTGCGTTTCTCGTGTTAAACCCTTTGAGCATAACCTTCGTGTCACTGGTCTGCATTTGGACACGTGTTGCCGGCCGGTGTGGAGTCACGGTGTCCGTCGCTTTGTTTTCAGATGGTTTCATCATCTTACGTTCTGTCACAGGGTTGCGATTCAGGCTCAGCATTCTTCTTGTTTGGCAGCTGCTGGAAATCTTTCCTCGGGAAAGTGGCGGCAGTCTCAGAAGCCAAGCAGCTAGGCGGCTCGGTTCGTGCCGGAGTGACTGAGAATGACAGGTGTTTTCAACATGTCACGTCCAGCCCATGAGCCGGCGCTTCACAGCTCCATAGCCATTGCTCTGAGCTGCAGCGGCCTTGGCACATGCTTGGACCGATAATGCTGGCTCGGTGTTTTGTACTAACATAGGTGCCATTATTTCCATTCTCTCATTGTGGTGGCTGGGCTTATTCAGATATTGCGTCGCTTGGATGCAGCAAGCTTTGCAGTCCACGAGAATGCTTGAGCACTCCAACGTAAATGTGAAGTGAGATTTGCGTGGAAGCATCCGGCTGCAAATTTCAGGTTGGTGAGAAGTGCAGCACTTGGAATGTCCAAGAGTTTCCAAGAGAGAGGGAGAGAGAGAGAATTTGAACAGTGGCTATGTCGCAGTAGCATACTCGAAGGTACAAGGCTACACATCTCGGGCCCAAGGCAACCTCCAGGCGAGATCGGGTTGTGGTTGTCACAGCTTCGTGTGCCGGGATGTGCCGGATATGTACAAACATCACTTGGAAACTGTATTGTGTGCATGTCGGCCTGGATGGGTTTTGGCACATGTGACTTTATGCTTGACTGCATCGGTTCAAAAGAACCATGAGTTGTGCAGTGTGCATGCTTTTCGGTTCTTGAGCTCTTCCATTACTGGGACATTGCGGCCTTTTGGCGATGTCGCAGAAGCGGAAGCACCATCATGGCCCTGCAGCCTCGCCTTCGGCTGTCCTTCCCCTTTCGGGAGCTCGACCGATTGCTGCGCCTCAGGAGCCTTCTGCGAGCCCTTCCTTCGGGCCCTTGCTGGAGATGCACCTTGATTCGAACTCTTTGGATAAGTTGAAGCAGGCCGGCATTTTTGATGATGCAGACGTACCGGGCTTGACTCCGGCAGATTTGTGCTCGCTGTGCGCTGATGTCAGCCATTCGATTGCTGAGACTTGCATTCGAGTAGCTAAGCTGCATCGGCGGCCTTCCTCTCAGATGAAACATGATCAAGCTGTTGTGCCTGCGATGACACCTTCGCTTTCAGCCCCGGCTTTTCGAGCTGGGCCCCTGCAAGCACCTCAGGTCGCTGCTTCAAAACTCGAGCTTATTGATTGCTTCTGGCAGATTTATTTAAGCTTAGGGACCAAGGGCCTTCGCTATAGCCCTCTTGTTGCCAGCCAACCTGCTATCCTTTGTGGCTAGCTTTGCTACCACGGAAGATGGCACTCTCCGACAGCATAGAAATATTTGGCTTCGGTGGTGTAGATTTGCAGATAAAACAATGCCTGCGCCAGTCTGCTATACTGAGCCCTCCATTGAGGGAACGAATGCTTTTCTGCAAGATCAAACTTCTCGAGGACCTACTGTTGCGTGCAGCTTGTTTCAGGGGATGCTCTGGTTGCAATAAAGAGTGTGAGACTTCCTTTCCCATTGCAAGACCCCTTCCTTGCGGCCTGGAACAGATTAGACCAGGGACACTCTTCTTCCCAGGTGTCTCCTTTGCGTACCGGGTCACTATTTTTGCTTTTGCCGCTTGGCCTCGCAAAGCTCTTCCAGACTGGCTGCATTTTGCGGATTTGCCCTTATGCCGCTTGTAGCCTGCTTGAGATTTGCACACATTCAGCGCTCTCATTCTTTGGTTGTTTCGGGTCCCTTTTTGCATGGGGTTTGCTCTAAGGGGAAAGCACGCCGACTGGGCAATCGACCACCCTTCCCTTGGGCTTGCCCTGTTAGTCTTCTCGGGTTTAAGAATGTCTTCAAAGCTGCTCTGGCGGTTCACACACGGCTTCTGCAAGACCATCCGAATGCTCAGTTTGTCATTCCTGATATTGACTTGGGGCCGGATGGCCTCAATGACAGCTGCTCCTGGATGCCCCGTAAGATGAGCCGTGCCAAGTTTGTCCGTGTGCTGCAAGGCGTTCTGAGGAGAGCCGGTGCAGGCAATAGCTATGTGCAAACAATCAGCACTTACAGTTCTTTCTTCCTTCTGTAGCCGACGTATGTCGTTGTCCAGAACACTTGGCATTGCATTTGGGAAGCTGGTCCGAGAGTGGCTCCAAGAAAAGTGTGAGATTCCAAATGCACCACTTGTATGCCGACGACAGAGTCTCCACTGCAGCGGATACTAAGGCTCGCCTGCTTGATTTTCTTCTGCAGGCCTCCCGTCGTTTGAATTCTGAGAGCTTCGACTGGCAAGCCCTCCGAGATCTTCATCTCAGCTGGCAAACCGAGGGAGCAACGGCCTCTTCGGCCGTTCCTCTCCCGTCTGATACCAAGCATTCCGAGCCATCTTCAGGTGGAAGCTCCTCTCGGGCTTCGTCCTTTTTGTCTTCTTCGAGCAGCTCCGACAGTGATGAGGACGAGCCTTCTGTGCAGTGGTTCAGGCTCTCGTCTGCGCCGCATAATGTGGTGCACATTTTGCGGGCTGATGCGGTGGATCTCCACCCTTTGTGTCGCAGCTCGCCCTTGCCACCGACACAGGTTACACGTGGTGTTGGGCTGGATTAGGATCATGTCATTTGCCAGCGTTGTGTAAATTCTGCACCGAAGGCTGTGTTACGTGCCATTCGCAAAGTCAAGAAGCCTGCTTGACAAAAGCGTTTGCCTCAACTGCTGTGTGTTTGACAATGCTTGCAAGTGCAATCCTCTTGCCGCTGCTCCTCAGCTGCCATTGAGCTCGGATTGCAGGTGCATTTTTGCCTTCCCTTGCATCGAGTCATGGGGGCAGCCGCATCTGATCAGCCTCCCGTTGAGGTGGTGTTCCGAATTCTGCTGCTGCTCCCGCCATTGTGGCTGGCAGCAGTACGTGAGGCATTGCATCGCTTTGAGGATCAGCCTGTGGGCTCTCGGACGGTGTACGCTGGAACTGCTGCCTCGCCTTCGGCGGGATCCGATCATGCCTCCGGGCCTTCGCTTGCTGCTGGCACGGCCTCGGGCCATTCTTCCGGTCCTGGCTGTGATCCTGCTGCAGGAAGTGCCCCGACGCTCACTCCCCAGGATGACCCTCGCCAAGTTCGCAGCGACCTCCGATGTGGCATACCATGTTCTCTTTGTACTTCTGGATGGTGTAACCGCGGCAAACCCGGCCATTCTCACCACACTTGCTTGAGGTGCCGCAATGGCTAAGGTAGCATGCCAGACTTTTGACCTGGTCTTCAGTTTGTGCAGTTCCTCCGCTTGACAGCAAAAGAACTCATTCGGCTTCGCCTCCTTGTGCAATTGCTCCCTCCTGCCCTTTGCAGTTGGGCTTTGCAGTTTGAGGTTGAATCTTTGGCCGGGCACACTTGCCTTGCTGCTTTCGGTTCTTAGCTAGGCCCGGCCTTCCGTGCCTGCGGTTCCCCCTTGTAGACTACCAACATGGCAACGGCCTCCCGTGACTTGGAGCAGCTCCGAGCGTTGCTGGCTACCTCTCGACTTTCCGAGGGCCTGGTTAAGTCGGTTTAGTACATTGAGTCCTTAGGGGTT